TTGCGATTTCGTTTTTCGCGATTATCTCGGAAACTATGAGAGATAGAGCCTTAAAACCTATTCCACTCGATTCTTGAGGAAATTTGGGTTCCCTAAATGCAGATGGGCGGCTCAGAATTGCGTTTTTTCTCTTCCTATAGCCTATACAAAATAAATTAAATTAATTTTTTTTTGCGATTTCGTTTTTCGCGATTATCTCGGAAACTATGAGAGATAGAGCCTTAAAACCTATTCCACTCGATTCTTGAGGAAATTTGGGTTCCCTAAATGCAGATGGGCGGCTCAGAATTGCGTTTTTTCTCTTCCTATAGCCTATACAAAATAAATTAAATTAATTTTTTTTTGCGATTTCGTTTTTCGCGATTATCTCGGAAACTATGAGAGATAGAGCCTTAAAACCAAATTTGGGTTCCCTATAGGAAGGTCGACGGCTCAGAATTGCGTTTTTCCAGCTCCTACACCCTATACAAGGTGAATTGAATTAATTTTTTTTGGCACTTTCGTTTTTTGCGATGATCTCGGAAACTATGAGATATAGAGCCTTGAAACTTATCCCATTCGATTCCTGAGGAAATTTGGGTTCCCTAAAGGCAGATGGACGGCTCAGAATTGCGTTTTTCCTCTTCCTATAGCCTATACAAAATAAATTAAATTAATTTTTTTTGCACTTTCGTTTTTCGCGATTATCTCGGAAACTAAGAGAGATAGAGCCTTAAACCCTATTCCACTCGATTCTTGAGGAAATTTGGGTCCCCTGTAGGCAGATGAACGGCTCAGAATTGCGTTTTTCCTCTTCCTATAGCCTATACAAAATAAATTAAATTAATTTTTTTTGCACTTTCGTTTTTCGCGATTATCTCGGAAACTAAGAGAGATAGAGCCTTAAACCCTATTCCACTCGATTCTTGAGGAAATTTGGGTCCCCTGTAGGCAGATGAACGGCTCAGAATTGCGTTTTTCCTCTTCCTATAGCCTATACAAAATAAATTAAATTAATTTTTTTTGCACTTTCGTTTTTCGCGATTATCTCGGAAACTAAGAGAGATAGAGCCTTAAACCCTATTCCACTCGATTCTTGAGGAAATTTGGGTCCCCTGTAGGCAGATGAACGGCTCAGAATTGCGTTTTTCCTCTTCCTATAGCCTATACAAAATAAATTAAATTAATTTTTTTTGCACTTTCGTTTTTCGCGATTATCTCGGAAACTAAGAGAGATAGAGCCTTAAACCCTATTCCACTCGATTCTTGAGGAAATTTGGGTCCCCTGTAGGCAGATGAACGGCTCAGAATTGCGTTTTTCCTCTTCCTATAGCCTATACAAAATAAATTAAATTAATTTTTTTTGCACTTTCGTTTTTCGCGATTATCTCGGAAACTAAGAGAGATAGAGCCTTAAACCCTATTCCACTCGATTCTTGAGGAAATTTGGGTCCCCTGTAGGCAGATGAACGGCTCAGAATTGCGTTTTTCCTCTTCCTATAGCCTATACAAAATAAATTAAATTAATTTTTTTTGCACTTTCGTTTTTCGCGATTATCTCGGAAACTAAGAGAGATAGAGCCTTAAACCCTATTCCACTCGATTCTTGAGGAAATTTGGGTCCCCTGTAGGCAGATGAACGGCTCAGAATTGCGTTTTTCCTCTTCCTATAGCCTATACAAAATAAATTAAATTAATTTTTTTTGCACTTTCGTTTTTCGCGATTATCTCGGAAACTAAGAGAGATAGAGCCTTAAACCCTATTCCACTCGATTCTTGAGGAAATTTGGGTCCCCTGTAGGCAGATGAACGGCTCAGAATTGCGTTTTTCCTCTTCCTATAGCCTATACAAAATAAATTAAATTAATTTTTTTTGCACTTTCGTTTTTCGCGATTATCTCGGAAACTAAGAGAGATAGAGCCTTAAACCCTATTCCACTCGATTCTTGAGGAAATTTGGGTCCCCTGTAGGCAGATGAACGGCTCAGAATTGCGTTTTTCCTCTTCCTATAGCCTATACAAAATAAATTAAATTAATTTTTTTTGCACTTTCGTTTTTCGCGATTATCTCGGAAACTAAGAGAGATAGAGCCTTAAACCCTATTCCACTCGATTCTTGAGGAAATTTGGGTCCCCTGTAGGCAGATGAACGGCTCAGAATTGCGTTTTTCCTCTTCCTATAGCCTATACAAAATAAATTAAATTAATTTTTTTTGGCGATTTCGTTTTTCGCGATTATCTCGGAAACTATCAGAATAGAGCCTTGAAACCTATCCCAATTTCTATTTGAGTTCCCTGAGGAACTCAAATTTCCTCAGGAATCGAATGGAATAGGTTCTAAGGCTCTATTTCTCATAGTTTCCGAGATAATCGCGAAAAACGAAATCGCCAAAAAAAATTAATTTAATTCATCTTGTATAGGGNACAACGCAATTCTGAGCCTTGTATCGGCCTATAGGGAACCCAAATGGCATATGACGCCTTTACTTCGTAATAACATTCATAAACGAGTCCGATCATTGTTCTTCTTCATGGTTAAGCGGGCCCCTTCCCGTCCCGTCAAGTTGACTATAGAAATTTACTGCTCTAATGAAAACCGGGAGCATGCCCAATTAGAAGTTAATATGTTGATTTTTCCAAAAGTTAGAGTACGCACAAGCATTTTGAGCGAAAAACCGAACAATTACTGTATCTTGGAAATTTTGCCTGAACGGTTATGCATATCTTGATCGATTCCAATAGAGGACATTGAGACGAATTTTTTGAAAAAAAAATTATTGAAATCGGTTAGACAGTTTTCGAAAAATTTGCAAAAAACGATTTAGAAACGAATGGAGATTTCTCCAAAACAGTTGGCCCGATTGGGCAGCACCTTAGGACAGAATCCTCATTCATACCTATATCCTGACAAAATTTGAAAAATTTTGGAATCGGTTTCTCCTTAAATTCTTCGATTTTCTAACAGTTGACTACCAGATGTGGACAGTCGCTCATACACGCATGGCCGTAAAACTTTGGATTATTACGTTTTAGACCATTTTACATCATTTCCAAGCAAAATTCGGAAATTAAAAAATAGAATCATTTCAGTGCTTTCATGAAATGAAATAAAATTTGTTGAAATCGCGCCAGTTATTCTCGAGATATTGACGCTTGAAAAATGTCAACTTTCAATTGTAAATTTTATTGTCTCACCGGGCGTTGAAATCCTCATCTAGACGTCGATATGCTCTCCAATGCCTCCAGAAGCTCGTCCCCGTGAAAATCACTTGCACTAAACACTTTCGAAATTATAAACCGTACCAACATGACTGAAACTGCCATCTTACGTATTTATACACATATCGACGAAGAAATTCCCGAGAGCACTTTATCACTTGATTAACAAAAGAAAACATCATCCCAATTCACAACACTAACATTCTAATAAATTCCTGTGTCCACTGGTTTCACTCATCAACTAGGTTTATCACGTTTTGAATTTTTTAAAGAGTCATTGTATCTATCAAAACTGTCCACAAACACTGGATTCTTCCAGTATTGCCTCCAGGCGTCATCTCGTGGTGTCACAAATACGTCGGTCACATGGAGATTCCAGATTTTCACCATTCGAGACGTTCATGTCGTTTTAAGTTTCGTAATTTATCGAACTATGCAACCATTGCCTTGTACCATTGTGACTGTCCATTATTATTATTAATTAATTTATTATCAGATTGTCAGTTACTTTCGGCGATTTGGCGAGTAATTTCTTCGACAATACTGCGGTTATCGCCAAGGAACATCAGGGCAGCCACTTTTAATCTGCGCAGACGTTTTTATTTTCTCATGTGTATTTCTGTTTTTACGTTTTAAAACCCGCAATTCATCGAAATAATTGTTGATTTGATGATCAAATTATTGTTCTCCATTATTATAAACTAATTACAGCTTTTTTAAGTATTATTTTAATGATTTTACCCTTGATTTCGGATAAAATCCGGAGACGAACGCCGAAGCCTCGAGACTAGTCGGCCATTTTTGTTGTGCGCAGAGATGTTGCGCAGAGATTTTTCCCATTCTCTCCTGGCAATTTTTGTTTTTACGTTCCAACACCGGCAATTCATCAGAATAATCGTTGATTTCATGACCAAACTATTGTTGTCCATTGTTGTCAACTAATTATAGCATTTTTAAGAATTATTTTAATGATTTTACCCTTGATTTCGGATAAAATCCGGAGACGAACACCAGCCTCGAGACTAGTCGGCCATTTTTGATGTGCGCAAAGATGTTGCGCAAGGATTTTCCCGCTTACTCATGGGTTGGTGGAGGTCTTTTGAACAATTTCAGATGGACACATTCTGTTTTGGACAAGTTCTCTAGGAAAAATGGGGACAGATTTAAATCTACATGAGAAGTTTTTTCTGTTTATAGATAATTATCAACTTTTTTTAGCTATATTATGCTCTATTTTACTTACCTTCAACTTTTCTTCATCCAAAAAAAACAAGGGAAACTTGAACTCAATTGTTGCAAGACAATTCGGTTCTCAGCTCATAACCCAGTGATATGTACGTCTGGTGTATCTTTCAATAGTCAGACAAGTTAACAATATCATCATGAAAATATAACAATCATTGGTGCTATACTATTGTAATGACGAACACTCCAGGAGATCCTCTGTTTTTGTTTTTGAACTGATAGTACATAACCTCATAACCAGAGAACCCACGCGTGGTATAAGGAATTTCATCATTGTGAATAAAATATCCAATCTCAAACAATAAAAGTCATAGATTTGTATTCTACAAACGATTTGCAATCGATTGAAAAAAAAAAGTGAAATTTTTTTTTTTCCAAATTTGTCGGCTAGATTCATGCATGATCTTGATTAATTAATTAAAAAAGACCATTAACTCTTAAACGTTAAAAAGAGATGTACAATGACCTGCTAACGAATTACAAACGATTCTATAGGGTCATTTGTTTGAAAATAGTTTTTTGTCGGCTAATAGGATACTGCTCAGTTGTACATGGATTATACAAACGATCCTCCCTCATTAAGAATTACAGTCGCAGTCTCTTGCTGACATAACCCTCTTGTTGTATGTACTGAATTAAATAATCGACAATTAGCAATAGTAATTAACGATCAGCTAAGAAAATGACTAATTCAAATGCAGACCAATCGCTTATGGACAAGTCAATGAGGAGTGTCTTCGGTAATTATAGAAATTCAGAAATTCAATGGATGAAATATTTCTAACTACTTTTACTCCATCTTATTGCCATTGGCTTCATTCTCTCTTTCAGTTGGAAATATTCCGTACGAAGCCACAGAAGAGAACCTGAAGGATATCTTCAGCGAAGTTGGGCCAGTGCTTTCATTCAAGTAAGAAATAAATTATCAAGAATGAACTTTCATCGATTAAATGGAGTGATAACCTATTAAGCGATACGTTTCTCTCACTTTTTCCACTTTGCATGCATTCTTGTAATTATTTTCATGTCAATTAATTATTCCAATGCTCATAACAGGAAAGGAAAATTCAAGAAAGAAGAAGTTTTATACTTATGAAATAATAGATTTCTTTATATCTCTAAGAATGATAGAAAATCCTTCTAGAATCATAATAAATGCAGGCTTTCTCAAATATTCTGTTCAATCTTTACAACAATTCCTAAAATATACCATTCAAACTGACTAACTACCCCGGGATTTTCAGGTTACAAGCAATTCCAGTTGATAATAATCTCGTTATGCTCCTGGAATGATCAAAAATCCTCCTTAATGATAAATTCATGTAGGCTCGACGACGAAAGATAATTCTTGATAGAACATTTATCAACAAAAGAAAGTCAAAAGCTAGTGAAGCATGAATCACCCAAACAAGAAGTTACAGTCCTAACAACCAATGCTGACCCCTCCCTACTTTCTCATTCTCTCATTTTCCGCCCTCTGCATGCATTCTCGTAATTATTTCCATGTCAATTCATTATTCCAATGCTATCCACAGATTAGTATACGACCGAGAAACTGGAAAACCCAAGGGCTATGGTTTCTGCGAGTACAAGGACCAGGAGACCGCCCTGAGTGCAATGAGAAACCTAAATAGTTACGAAATTGGTGGAAGAACCCTGAGAGTCGACAATGCATGCACAGAGAAGAGTCGTATGGAGATGCAGAGTCTTCTGCAGACTCATAACACAGAGAATACTTATGGAGAGGCTGTGCAGTCTGACAAGGCACCAGAGGCCATCTCCAAGGCAGTAGCTGCACTACCACCAGAGCAGATGTTCGAGCTGATGAAGCAGATGAAAGTCTGCATTCAGAATAATCCCAATGAGGCGAGGCAGATGCTCCTGCAGAATCCACAGCTGTCTTATGCCCTTCTGCAGGCTCATGTTGTCATGAGAATTGTGGATCCTCAAACTGCTGTCAGCATGCTGCACAAGGCCAATCCCATTCCCGCAGTACTGACTCCAACGGAACATCCACCCATTCCAACGTTTCAACCGAGGATTGAGGAGCCGTGGGCCACTGCCAGGACTGCTCCTGCTGTTAATCCACCTCCACCTATTTTTGCAGGTGAATTATGTCGAGATAATTGAGTGATCATTATTTTTCATTTTCATTTGATTGAGGATACCCAAGTATTTTGGCTATTTTTTCTCCAGTGAAATGCTTTTCTACTTTTGTAGTCGAACATCAGAGCTTTCATTTGAACCCCATTTGACCCTAAATTTCCGAGCATTTTACAATGATTTTATTATTTAAACTTTGCCAATCTGACTTTGAATGGCGGTATTGAACCGTTAGAAAACGTTTTAAAAATCTGAAAAAAATTAGAAGCTTTATGTTTGGAGGAAGATTTATGAAATTGTTTGAAAATTACGAGCATTTTCTATAAATAATTTATAAACAATCAATAGTTCACCATAAAAATTATGTGTTCGGAATAGTAACAAATTTATTCATATTCAGAATTTCTCCAAAAATCGATTTAATGCCTAAAAAATAAGGTTTCTAAACAAGGTTTCAGGTTTGTGGAAATATTGTTAATGTCAAGAATTCAGAGCAAAAAGAAATATTTATCAATTAGTCTCGATTTATCGAGTTTTGTTATTGAATTATCAACATTTCTCAATTGTACAAATGTTCAAAAACCCAATAATATTATTTTGTTTCTATAGCTAAAGATGTAGACTTGCGAACATTGGATAGACCCATCGACCACAGATTAGCAAGAATGGACATGGATCTGAGAACTGGAACTCAGCCACCTATCGCAGTGGTGCCTCCAGTAGTTCCAATGATCGACACTCGTCTCTCAGTCTTCAATCCCCCAGACAAGTAAGTCCGACAAAAGTAACTGAAATTACCACGAAAATTAATAGATTCACTCCATTGATTAGCACTCTTCCTGCGGAGGGAATCGAGAGGTTCAAACAATTTTTATCAATTCTCAATAGTTCCCCTGGCCCCAGCATTATCATTGAAACATTCTCTTCAATTTGCAGCAATTTCTGTCGAGACCCACGAGCAGATCGATTTGGGAGAGATCCTCGTGACTCCAGAGACCCCAGAATGACAGTGGACCCCAGGATGAACAAACCCACTCGTGAGTAATCAACAAATCCCAATTAAAAATGCAAATACTATTATAAATTCAATTTATCGTCATAAAAATTCTTCTGTGATGTTGAAAATCTCTGAATATCTGCCTTATTCTAGCTCCAATCCTCGTGGCAGCTCCTCAAGTCCCTCGTGCAGTGGTGACACCAGCCGTACCTCCAGTCAACATCAACACAGTGAGCTCAACAACTTCAGCAGCTGGATTTTCCGCATCCAGTGTAGCTGCTTCCAGACTCATGGCTGGCATGTCACCCGCCGGAAGCATTCCCAGTGGAGCCTCTGACCAGGAGAAGGTAAAGACAACACTTCCAATTCTACCATCAGAGCAATAAACTTCACTTTCTTGTCCCTGAGTACAAACACAGCCCCACAGTTAATGAAAAATTATTCTCCCATTGATTTGATTGTTGGGATTTATATTCCAGGCTGCGTTGATCATGCAAGTGCTCCAGCTGACGGACGACCAGATCGCCAAGCTCCCCATGGAGCAAAGACAGAGTATTCTGGTGCTGAAGGAGCAGATTGCCAACAGCACTCCAAGATAATTGCTTCGATTATTCATTTTTATATGCATGTAAATAAAAATGATTATTAGATCGAACTGGGAATTAAATAAACACAATTTGGTATTTTCTGACTTAAGTTTTTATTGAGTCTAAAGTCTTTGTATCTCCATTTCTCTGGTTTTCTGTAAGTAGGGGAGGGTAGGGCAAAACGAATCACTGATAGAAAATTGGTCATTTTTGCTTTTTTTTTTCTTCAAATCAAGAAAACAATGTGTTGAATTAAAAGTGAGTTTCCTGAACCGTAACCTTCAGAGGGGTTTTATAGACAAGAAATGTTGTTGAACCGCAATTTTTGCGGTTGTTTTTGCTTTCAAATGGAAGCAAAAACAAAAATTATCAATTTTCTGTCGGCGATCCGTTTTGCCCTAGGGATCCCTTTTGCCCTGCGGTCCGTTTCGCCTTACCCTCCCCGAAATTTAAAAATTCGTCTTGTATCAACGAAAGCAGTAATAAATGAACAATTGATCATTCTTTAATTTATCTTATGATTTAATTGTCACCATATGATTGTTATATAAATGTTACCATACCTCCATTTTTCTTCATTTCGAATAGTTGAATTTAAAAATTTATTTACGAAGGAAAAAACATAGAATTAAGGGAGTAAAATTGTTTTGAAATTGATTTTAATAAATACATAATTTCATACAGTCTGATTGTTTTTATTCCATTCAAATCTCCGTATGTCCATTTCCCTTTTTTTTTAACAACTAAATCGTAAAGTTCATCATTTATGAAAGACAGAAGTGATAAATCCACAATCAGAAATTTTTCAATACAGTTTACGATTTAATCAAGGTCTTTAGACCCCTCTTTTTCTGAATTTTAAATGGCGGAATAAAATAAAATAAAATAACTTTGAAATTGTTGTCCTTGGCGGTAAATATCGCAGTGCGTCATTTCAACATGGCAGCCTCCATAGTCATCACCCATAACCTCAAAAAACACTCGAAAAACCGGTCAATCCAAGTAACTCATTCCCATTAATCCAATTTATTTAAACCCCAAACGTTTACAGTGAAATCATCAACTAAGAAGTTCTAGTGAAGTAGAGATAATTCTCCATAAATTCCACCCAGAAATTCAGCAAATCTGGATGACACCAAGGAAAGAATGATCGCAGCCTCAGACCCGCTGGTGAGTACTCCAAACAATTCATCAGCAACAATCACCGATGCAATTGCTCCAAATTTTAAATTATCTTTTATAGAATAGAACAAGAAAAAGGTGGTAAATTCTTAAAAACATGTTATTTTGGAAAACAAATTATCGACATAAAAGAAGAATGAATGAGCAAACCCAGAAAAAAATCTCGTTATTTTCTAATACAGTCTTTTAGTTTTCTAATACACTGTTATTTTCAAAACATTGCTATTAAATTCGATTCGAGAGGAAGTTTTGGGAAATTCAAGTTCCAGCTAAAATCCAATCGAATTCAATGGATTCTAAGTGGAGATGATTCGGTATTATCCGCGGGCTATCTACTCTGTCAATCTTAGATAAATAATTTCTTTCGTGATAATCTTCAATTTTCACGTGAAGTTGAATATTTTTACAATTTTTACTGATTCCCTCTGAATAAGTGAATGGAAATCTGCAATTCCCATTGATTTTCTCACTTGCGATATTTCTATGAGGAGATCTCCATCAGGAATTTCATTTGAAATGTCACTTGTTACTCCCTAGTTACATTACTTTCCTAGAACTCTTCTTTTATTCATTTTTTCATTCACTCTTCTCTTGATGCTACAATCTAACGAATGTTACACAAGACAGAGTGACACAGGGACATTGAAATAAAACATCGTAGACTTCAATCGAATACCAAAATTCCTCAGATTATATTTTTTTAAACGTTCGTTATCGCGTTCACGTTATCAATCTGGTTACTTAAAATTTACATGTCATAAAAAGGCTAGGATCGCGTAACGTGCATTACGCAAATAAAAAATAAATACTCGTCTGAATTCCAAATCCTCAGAAGATTTTGCAGACAATTCACACGTCCAACAAAAAATTTCCGACGAAAATTTAGTAGTGCACCAGTAAAACGATTCGAATCGAATGAGCATTTAGCTCAATTTTCGAGGAATATCTTCGAATCTCCGAGAGATAGCGAAAGTTTTGTAACCACCTTTTTTGTAGCTCCCAATTCGCCCTAGAAAAGTTTGTATTAAAAATTTTCCTATCTATCTTCGATTCCGAGCTATTCATGGAACCTGCCCAATAGGCAAAATCGTGCCCCCTCACCCAGAGAACCTCATAATTCTGTAACAAAGTGGTCAAACAGTTTAAGTCGATTTTGGCGATTGGCCAGTTTTCAACGAATATCTCAAAATCTAAGGGAGATAGAAAATTTTTTCTCATAACCTTCTTAGTAGCACTCAATTCGCTCTCCAAAAAATGTTATTATGAAAATTTCGCTATCTCCCTTAAATTCGGAAACACTTGCGGAAAACTCAACTAAAGACTAAACTGACTTAGACCGTCCGACCACTTCGCTACTGAATTAATAAGATCAAACCCCCTTCAAACCCCTTCCCCCCAGGAATATTCACCAGGTGGACGTCAGACCTACCGCCGCCACCCGGGTTCCGTAATCCACCAGCAAAATGCTGAGAACCGAACCCTCCAAAACGACAGTGCTCTCCTCCAAAAATTCAGTCAAGTCAACATATCCGACAAGTCCCTAAAAGAATTCTGGTTGATCCGCGACACGCCGGATCACGGCGAAGAGGAGCTCTACTGCTCCGGCAAAGTGGCAGTGCACTCGAGGGGTTCCCAGCTCACTCGAGTCCTGCGCACCAGCTACACCTGCGACACGGACATAAAGCACGCACTCTGGTGCAATTTCTGCACAAACCCCCCAAGCCAAAGTCACTCGCCACCCCCAAGCCCCGAGGACCCGGAAGCCCCGGAGAAGACAGTGGAGTGCATCTGTCTGCTGGACTCCTACACCCTAAAAGTCTTCACCGAGACCGGTGAGGACTACGTGTCGAGCCTGCAGTTCCAGATCTCCTCGGTCTGGCCGACCAAGTACGGAATTCTCTTGGAGAAGTCCCAGGTGCCAGCGGCCTCTCGATACGCCTCCTTGGAAACCAGTCGATGGGCTCAACAGAACGACCCGACCCTTCCCATCGCGTTCTCCCTGACCCACCCCCTGGACGAGATCTGCCCCCTCCTGATGAAACACGGCACAATCACTTACATGTGCGAGCCCAGCCAGCAGATAGTCTTCACCTCGTCATCCCCCTCGCTAGCAGTCATCTACGACACGAAGACAGGTCTCCACTCGGTCTACAAAATAAGAAAGGCCTCCATGGATGAGAGGCAGGTGGTCTGTGGCACCGGCGACGTCACCCCGAGCATGTTCAACCACTCGACGAGTGCCTCCCCCCTGCACCTGCCTGGAAATGCCTCTGGAAACAAGAGCTGCAGCACGAAGACCCATTTGAGCCTCTTCGGCGTGCCCAATCCCCAACTGAGTGGCGTCAGCATGGGAATGAGCTTGGGAATGTCGAACAGTCCCTTCGGCTCCAGAGGCACCTCCTACACGACCTCGTGCTCAGGAGGTGCCCCCTCACCTCAACAACACCAGACTACTCACTCAAGATCTCAAAGCCCCATGGCGACAATCTCCAGGTGTCAGTCCCCAACCCATCCAGCTTTCTCTCCTCTAATCGGAGGTTCCATGGGCCCCATAATCCACCAGACTCGTCTCCATCAGACCGTCATGGCCACCATCATGTGTCACTCCCAGCACAATCCCAGCAGTTGCAACAGTTTCCACTTTCAGGATGCACCTGTTACTTCTAGTAAACCGTTGTACCCTGAGATCTGTCTGGATCACGTCTGGACAGAGAATTCGGGGGTTCCCAAGGAGGTTCCCTCTGGGAAGGCGTCCAAGGTGCTCCTCACGTCCGACCTCGTGGGCCAGGGGTACCTGGGGTACCTCGTCCCCTCGAGGTCCCAATTATTTCTAGTCAGAATCGAGAAGACTAACAAGCAACAGCAGATTATCTTCGGCATGGTGGCTAGTATTGTTGCTAAGGACGCTGTCAATCTTCCCTCGATTAACATGATCGCCACCCTGGACTTATCAAACGGCGTGACACTGTACTCGGGCGTCACATGTGTCGGGAAGGTTCACATACCAAGTCTGCATCCGACCATCGGCTGCAACTACTTCTCGAGTAATTTAGGGCCCAAACTGGTGAGCTCACCCTTCCCCAAGAGGAGTTCGTTGAATGCTCAGCACATTGGGGGGGACATAAAGTTCGATGAGGCGCTGCATACTTTGAGCCCCGTTGGCACCTGTGGGAGGCCCACGATGCTGATGGACAACTCCATTCACGACGCTGGATTGGTCGGTCTCAAAGACGCAGTTGGGAATAAAATCACTTTGGAGTATGGGAACAAGAGCTTCTACAGGGTGGCGTTGCCCACCTCGAGCACTTCTCCATTAGTCACCAGGTGTCTCAAGGCCCTGAGGAGTGTCTTGCAACGTGATCTGGCCATGCAGCTCCTCGTCAAGTGGTATGGGGCTAGAAATGCCCCTGGACCACAGGATTTCTCGTTATCCCAGGAGTGGCACCTGTTCATCGTGGTTCTACTGACTCTCCTTGGGTACGATGTTGATAAGCTACCTCTGGTGAGGAGGAACGATGGCGATGGCTGTGCGGAGAGGAGCAGTCCCATCGTCGTTCCCAAAAAGCAGAAGACCAATGACTCTGGGTCACAAGAGGACTGGCTGAACACTTTGGGGTCCCAGGAGCATAAGAACTCCCAGAATTTAGTCGCAAATGTTCTTCATCTGTCGAAATCCATTGCTGTGAAGCCTGAGGTCACCATCAGGGTCGATCGAGACGGCAACGCTGGGAGAATCAGCACTCAGGCCATTCTGTTTCCTTATCTACCTCTGGTTTTATTCTCCCTTCATCTTCTCTATGAAGAGTTGAAGCTGAATTGCGTGATGTCGGAGAGCTTGCCTCTCCTTGCCCAACTGCTGCACCAACTCAGCAGAGATCTGAAGTTCAATATGTACTCGCATCATTATTTCCTGGATCATCCAGGCCACTGTTCAGACTATGAGTGTCCCTCGCAGATGAATTCAGCTGATCTCCAGAAGATTACTCCCCCTAATTATATGCCGATGAAGCCACCGAGGGTCTTCGAGACGCTCAATGATCTGTTGAAGACTGGGGAAGCGATGGCTTATCCTCACCTGAGTCGAGTGAACCCCATGTCTAAGAGCATCGTTCAACTCGTGGCCATGATCGCTAATGAGGGCAGGGTGGACTCACTGGAGATGGAGAGGTTTGTCAAGGTCATTGTACCGGCGGGGAGTCGGGTTGACCACAAGGAGACTGGGTTCAAGATCGATAAGGATGTGTCGAGGAAGGTGGAGAGACCGGTTGCTGACAGGTGAGTTGAGACAGGCATGATTGGTATGGAATTTTTTGTTTTTCGAAGACGCAGCTAGGACGATCGAACGGTCGAATCATAGAGCAATAATTATGTTGAGGATAATTTTATTAACATTCAGAGATTAGAATAACGGGAATATTTGACAGAATGCATTTTTCGCCTCTCTAGAGTGGAGTAAAATTTATGAAATTCAAAATTCGTTTATTCGTAATCTATTGCGAATAAAGTACAACTGATGCTTAAGTTTATTCTTCGGAGTGTAACGAAGATTTAAAAAAAAAGGTAAAATCGTATGAAAACTACGGCGCAAGGAGCATTTTGAAGGTAAAAACAGGAAAAAATGAAGTTTTTCGTAGTTATACGGGGCAAAATTGATCGGGTCCGCGATTTTCTCTAGTTATTCTCATATTCCGTCATATATCATAAACTGTTCAATGGCTCCTAAGGCGCAGTGAAGACTTTTAAATTTCACTTTTAAATTATCCCCTTAAGGATGTTTATCCAAAATCGCAAAAGAAAACTTGAAAAAAAAAGATTCTTATCAACTGAGACATGAAAATATTCCCTTCACTTTGAGACAAATTTCAATCCACCAACCCATGCTCATTATTTAGAAATGAATTAGACAAAATGCACCAAATACATGCGCTAACATGTGCTTATATGGGATACAATCATTCAAATATTTCCTCTTTTTGCCCGAGTACCCCAGATTTTTCTCTGGCCATTGGATTCAGTATGATTTTACACATTACCTTCTATTTTTATTCCTATTTTCAGAGTCTTCTGGTAGATGAATTATAAATTTGCATCAGAAAAAATTAGTTTTTTCATTTCTGCCGAGACTGTTGTGATTAATTTTTTTTTGAACGTTAGAAAAGTTAATTTTATGTTCTATAGTTTTCTACAAAATCTTCAAAAAACGAAAGTGATCAAGGAACGCCCCTTTTTGCTCTACCACCCACAGGAGCAAAAAAAGCAGAAAACGTCAGAATTAACTCAAGTTATTCCCAAGTTAGCTTAAAACATCGTAAATTTCCTCAGGAATTGAATACAATTGGGTCTAGGCTCCTGTAGTTCTCGAGAAATCCCCAAAAGCCGCAAGTGCTCCCGAATTGACTTCAACAGCTAATTGCTGTCGCAAATACACTCCCCCTAAAACATTCCAGAATAGTCCTCCTCTACCACGAGATGGGCATGTCCAAGAAGGACCTGGAGACTCTCCCCCCAGGGGTCTCCCTAATACTGAAAGACGTGATGTACCGTTGCCGAGAGCGGCCCCCGTCAACCTGGCCGACCCAGGCCTACGAGCTGGTGGACCGTCAGGACCTGGCTGCCCTCGAAAAACACCTGAAGAACCTCTCCCACAAATTGGACACCGACTCCACCTCCAACTACCCAATCCGCGACCCCGAGCAGGACGACGGCATGACCTTCGACGACGCGATCCTCAAGTTGCGCTTCAACAAGGACCACAGGATCTCCGAGGTTCGTCGCCTCCTGAACTCCTCGAAGCCCGTGAAAATCGCCATCGTCCAGCGCCCCGAGGTCTCCGATCACGAGTTCATCGAGGAGCAAGAGCGTCATCTCCACGCGTTATGCTCACGGACAATGGCTCTCCCAGTGGCGCGAGGAATGTTCACCCTGAGAACATCAACGCCAATCGTTACAGAACAACTGCCCATTCCTAGACTCTGTCTCACGGGGAAGGCGGCGCTGAGGGGCACCACAGTCGAACTCTCCCACATCGACGTCCCCCCGAACATGAATCTCTGGCCGCTATTCCACAATGGAGTGGCTGCAGGCCTCAGGATCCACCCGGACGCCTCCAACATCGACTCCACCTGGATTGTGTACAATAAACAGCAGCAGGGAGAGTTCGGCATCGAGCACTCGGGCTTCCTGATGGCTCTGGGGCTCAATGGGCACCTGAAGAAACTCGCTCCCTTCAGCATGTACGAGTACCTCGTGGAGTGTCACGAGTCGACGAATGTTGGACTTCTTCTGGGACTCTCTGCCACTCATCGGGGCAGTATGGACGTCTCCATGACCAAGCTGCTGTCTCTTCATGTGGAGACTCTTCTCCCACCCACTAGCATCGAACTCAATGTTCAACAGAATGTTCAGGTAGGGAGAGTATACATGTAGGATAATTTATTTGTGCAAAACGAATTCGTTCGGGATAATTGACTTTTCGTTCGCTTGAATTTTCCCGAAAATTTAGAATTTTTCATTTAGTTTGCAATTATTATTATTATTATTATTATTATTACGCAGGAAAAAAAAGTTTCTAGTTCGCAGTAAAAATAGTAGAAAGTAAAGTAATCCTAGATATAAGTTAAATTTTTACTTATTTTGGAAAAATTACTCTGAAAACGAACAAATTCATTTGGCATAATTACTATTTTTTCTTGGATTCTCTTGAACTTTTGAAATTATTGATTACTTTATTGATCCCATCTCTCAATAATGATTGACAATGATTTTCTTCTCTCTTCTCTATAATAGAAAGGAGACCAATAGTAATATTTCTTATTATTCACTGAAATTGCTCGCTATTCAGTTCGAAATGTTGCGCAAAAATTGGTGTCAATTAGTCAATGTCCATCCTCCTGATTAATATGAATTGTCTTAGAATAGAGAATAGTACTATATTGGCAATGAAAATGATGAATTCAGTAGTGAAGTGGTAAAACGGTTCAAGTCGACTTATCTCCCAATTGAGTTTTTGAGGAATATTTCCGAATCTGAGGGAGATAGCAAAATTTTCATAATTACATTTGTTGTAGCACTCAATCGGCTCTACAAAAAAGTTTATAATAAAAATTTTGCTATCTTCCTTAGATTCCGAGATATTTATTGAAGACTGATTGAATCCAAGATTGATCCATCTATAGTGTTGATTCAATTTCATATTCTAAAAACTAATGATTAAGTCGCGCTCCCTGCACACCAATTCGTTATTCCACCTTATATTTTCGTCAGGTGGCTGCACTGATGGGAGTGGGCCTCGTTTACGAGGGCACAGCCCACCGCCACATCTCGCACGCCCTCCTATCAGAGATAGGAAGACCCCCAGGTCCAGAGATGAAGAACTGCGTCGACCGGGAGTCCTACTCCCTCGCAGCAGGGCTCGCCCTGGGTCTCGTGGTCCTAGGACGAGGTGGTGGGGCCGACCTAGCCAGCATCCCTGACACCCTCCACTATTACATGGTCGGGGGGAACTCGAGACCCTTCACAGGTGCCCAAAAGGAAAAATACAAATCCCCCAGCTATCAAATTCGCGAGGGGGACTCCATCAACATCGATGTCACCAGTCCAGGGGCTACAATAGCCCTCGGTTTGATGTACTTCAACACTGGAAATCGAGCTGTTGCAGAGTGGATGCGAGCTCCTGGTACCCAGTTTCTCCTGGACTTCGTCAGGCCTGATCTCCTGCTACTGAGGATTTTGTCGAGATCCCTCATCCTCTGGGATGAGATTGAGCCCACGAACAGCTGGGTCTCCTCCCACGTCCCTGATATCGTCTACAAGTACAGATTGCAGAAGCCAACCTCTGAGATCACCCAGAATGTCGACCTGGAGACCATGAATCAAACCTACTGCAACATCATAGCTGGTGCCTGCATGGCTCTTGGCCTCAAGTACGCAGGGAGTGCTAATGAGAATGCCTTCAAGATCCTCTTGAACTACGCGAAGATGTTCACAGCTCTGTCCCACAAGTCCATTGGAGAGCTTGCAGGAAAATCCACAATTGAAACGTGTCTCAACGTAACTCTACTGTCAGCTGCAGTGGTGATGGCAGGAACTGGTAATCTGGACGTCATGAGGATCTGCAGGCAGATCAGAACGAGAGTGGGACCAGCGTCGAGTGTCGTCACTTATGGCTCTCATCTGGCCACTCACATGGCTCTGGGCCTGTTGTTCCTGGGGGGAGGGAGGTACACACTGTCCAACAGTCCCAGTGCAGTGGCTGCATTGATTATCTCTCTATTCCCCAAGTTCCCAACGCACAGCAATGATAATAGGTATCATCTCCAGGCTTTGAGGCATCTGTATGTCCTCGCAGCCCAGCCCAGACTGGTTTTACCCAGGGATATTGACAGCAGGGCTCACTGCTACGCCACCTTGAAGCTCACTTTCAGGTCGGAGAAGCTCGAGAAGGGACAGGAGATCACCATGAAGGCTCCTTGTCTTCTTCCGCAGTTGGAGAGTCTGGAGAGGGTGGAGTTGAAGGATGATAGGTATTGAATTTCATTAAATGTATTTTTATAGATATTGAGGTACAAAATACCTTTAGGGCAAACTATTGTTTATAATTATTAATCTACTTAAAATTATAATTAGTGGAAGACATGTTTATCATCGGGTACTTTATTAGTCTCATTTTCATCATTTGTTTTGGTTAATTCATTCATTATTTTTTAATGTTATTTCTGATTATTTAATTCATTGAAAATTATTAGTGCTATTATTGATATCATTGTATTTCTCATTTTTCTGGGATGAAATGATCCCCTAAGAACTAATCAAATAATGAAATACATTGTTTACGATATTCAAATGAAATCAGATACGATTGGTTAATTATTCAATTATTTAACATTATGTCTTCATTGATTTTATTTTTGTTTATTTCATTCATTATTTTCAATTTTATTCCTAGTTATTTAGAAAAATTAGTCCAACCATTTCTGTTTTTCTTCACAAAACTCTTTATTTCTCAATGATCACAACAATTTTAAACAAATCATTCTAAAATTGGAAGAATAGAGAAACAATTATTTAACATTTGACAAAGTTTCGTACACACAGTGTCCCTCATGAGATCATATACTTATTCTTCACAAAAAAAATTATTATTTCATACTATTGCAAATTCTATAATTAAAGCATTCTATTTATTTAATTCACTGTCAATTCTTATTCTTGTTACTGATTTTATTGAATTTTTATTTCTCATATTTAATTTTAGTTTATTTCATTGCAGGTACTGGGAGATTGTTTTTCAGAGGGGCCACAACTGGCAGCTGCTGGAGGGAATGTTGTCCAAGTGTGATTCACTGGATGTGAAGCAGAAAGCTGGGTGTCTTCCGTATGTGGAGGATCCTCAGGGCTTCAGGAGTCTTGTTGCTCAAACTTTGACTACTGAGAATGTTATACCGTGGGCTGCCAGGCAGGAGCACGTCACTAGTTTCACCAATGACAAAACCGTCTTGAATATCGTCAAGTACTTCCTGCAGAAACGATCCAGTGAGAATTTTGAGAGGAAGTTTGGGGAGGTTTCGATACAAGGGAGCAGTAAGGTTAACTCCGGGTATGTCTCGAAGAGCTTTGGAGAGAGCTTGTCTGAGAAAATGGAGATCGGGGAGAGCTCTTCACCTGCGAGGAGCCCCCAGAGTCTTGTTAACGCTCAGGAGGAGGCCAGGGAAGTCTCTGAGGTCGAGAGGTACTTCCTGCAGACCCTGGCCATCATTGTTTATGAGTGTGTTATTAAGGATAAAGTCAGTCTGCTGCCTCTCTGGGTGAATCTTTATAAGAGCATTGAGGTCATTGAGAGGAGACCCACCAGCAATCTTGTGTGGCAGGTTAAACTCGTGGCTGCTCATGTCCTCGCTAGGTGCCAGGTCGATGATGCTAATGCTCTTTTCAGTGTCGAGAGCGTTCTTGCGATCAAACAGCGGGTGGCACTGATCATGGATATGTGGGAGGAAGGTGAAGATTATTCAGTATTTTTTATTGATGTTAATTCAACGATTATTTGAGAAAGAAAAAATAGTAAAGGGAGAATTTAATGATTTCTGCGTTTTTCAGTGGCAATTTTTTGATACGAAAAAGTTGAGAGATGGAGATTTTTCTGTATAATTTATTCTGTTGGGATTTTCTATAATAATTCTTGGGCCCGAATTTTTTTATTTTCCTTTCTCTTAGATTTTGTAATGAGTGAATGTTTTTAATTAATTAGAAGAAGAAATTGTTATTTCTTTCATAAGAATTCTTGGGCCTCAACTTTTCAAGTTTTTATTCCCTTTGATTTTGTAATGAGGAAAAAGTATAGCTGAAAAAACTTACAAGATTGTTGCTTGGAGATTTCTGTGAAAAAATAATTACTTCTATTGAATCTGTTTTATCAAAAAATTTCTGGTCTCGAATTTTAAAAAAAATTCATCTTGATTTTTTTTGTTGAACAAATTTAGTGTTATAAAAAATTTTTAATGAGTAAAAAATCTTGAATTGAAAAATATTCCGCAAAAATTTATATAAAAATTTGATTCATTCTCTACGTTTCAACTAAATTAATTTGGTCCATTCTTTCTCGTTCCTGTGAAATCACCAAAACTAATGTTTGTTTTTTGATTTTTCAGAATTACGGCCAGTATTGAAAAAATATATTCAAACAGGTGCAATTGAAGGAGACGCAGCTACCATGAGGAAATTCACAGCTTACTGCACATATTACGATATTCCATACACAAATGCCCGTTTAGGACCTGTTGATTTCAATCCCTTCAATACTCAGCTTCATCTGCCTGAAGTAACGCTGTACAAATTGTATAAATTAGGTGGAAATTTCTCAGGGAATTGAGGGGAAAAGTTTTAGTAGAGCTTTCATGTTTTTTTTTATTACGAAAATGTACACGCAGTCGATCACACTTGTTTCTTCAGGCTCCGAATGCACCGGGTCATTCACGTGAACTAATCCACTGTAAATAGTTTACATCTATGCTAGTTCTAAGTCGTGTTATAAATATATTTTTTACAAAAGAGATATTTGTTTCTGTTTAACAAACTCCAGAGAAAGTCTTTGAATTACATTATGGAAGAAATTTTCAATTCTTTTGAATAATAAAATTAAATTATGAGAAGGTTTTTGGATTTAATTTGAGCAATATTTGTCCCTCACTAATTTCAAATAAATCGTCAATTATTCTTGTTCAGGATTTTTTTCTAAATTATTTGCTCTAGTTTCTCGTTTGACGCATTTTGATTCTTGGAGATTTCTTCCTGCCCGAAATATTTGCAGGCAAAATATTTTTTACGGAAAAGATCTCGTTTTTTAACTAACGAACCCCAGAGAAAGCCTTTAAATTAAATTTATGGAAGAAATTATTTTCAATTGTTTAGAGTAATAAAATGAAATTATGAAAACATTGTGGGATTTAATTTGAGGACTTTCTGGCATTCATCTATCTTTATTAATTCTTCTTATTTAGGATTCAGTTTTAGGTTAAAAAAGATTGAAAATTTGCAACAGAATTTTTAAAGTAGAAAAATGAAAAATTAAGTCATTTGTTCTAGTTCCTCGTGTTATCACATTCTTCTATTTTGGAAATATTCCAGAGGTTTGCTGTGCACCATAAAATTAGCCACGAAAAGAAAAGTCGTTTGATAAATTTTTCTGAAAGTTTCCCTTCCAAAGATATTTATCCCAGTGAAAACAAGGAAAATTCTTTCATTCTTTCTCAAAATATCTCTGAAACTACTGGATAAATTCAAAAATGTAAAGACCTTTCTTCTAGCCCACAAAAACCCCTATAAGTTTTGTTTAACCCTCCAGATATACCCTCCCCCCTCAATAAAAAAAAATCAAAAAATAGATCTTCTCCTGTAGAAAGCCTCTTCATGAATAATCGGTCTTCCAGTGATGGAGTTGATTCTGGCATCGATAAAAGTTCCAACGGAAGTATAGCAGTACAAACACCCGACCAAAATGCCCCCAAGATGTCCCACAAACGAGGCATTAGGCACGAGTAGATGAATCATAATCAACTCTCCCCAGACAGCGAATTTACTGGGGACCCTGAATCCCCCTATGTCGTGCAGTCTGTCGTGTTCCTCGCAGACGACGATGACCTTCAGAGCGAAGAGGACCCCGGAGAATCCTATGGCGCAGGTCGTGAAGTACCCGTAATCCCCTGTGATCTGGGTGAGTGCGTAGGACAAGCCGACGTACATGGCACTGCACCCCGTGGAGAGGATCCCCAGGAGAATACCGAAATTGGCTGTGCCATACATGGGCTCCAGGTAGGCGCCCTTCAGTATAAACGATATCATGTTGTAGTACAGGTGCATGTCTGAGCCATGCTCGAAGTTGGACATGAAGAAGGACCTCCAGTCTTTGTACTTCAGGATCTTCACTGCTGATATGCAGACATCCTCGGAATTCCAGGGAACCTGGATTACTCCGATGTAAAGTAGAGCCTGGAAATTAATTTTTTGGGATCAATGTTTGCACTTGAAATTAGGAGAAAATGATGGCTTTTTCGTGTTGTTGATAACGATTTTTTATTAATTAATTTCAGGAATCGCCAAGACAATTTCGAATTTCTTTCATTTTATTTGAAAGGTAATGTGAAACCTCAGAAATTATAAGTTAATTATTTCGTCAATTAATTTTCCATTCATTTTTAATTTTCTGGCAGGATTCGTACACTTTTAGAAGATGTTTATTAACTGACGTTGTCTGGAAATCTCAAGGACTGTTGTAATTGAAAATTCACAATTTGATGACGGAATCAATGAAATTTAGGTTAAGATATTCTTGATTTTTCCAATCTTTCTCTTGGTAATAATAATTTTTTACAAGTAAATTTTGAAAAGTATGAATTTGAATCTGATTTATAGAATATTAAAAATTTTCTATAAAAGCTAATGCAAAACTTTAAAAATTGTAATTGAATTATTTTGTCAATTAAATCGGGTTTCACTAAAATTTCAATAAATGTCTTCATTGAAAATTCATAATTTGATGAAAAACTCAATGAGAATGAGGGAATTCAGGTGAATATAATCTTGCATTGTGTATTAATTAAAACACAAGCACAATTTGATACTGAAAATTCAGGTTTTCATAAAATAATCAAGCAAGTTGGAAAGTTCTCGACTTCCTGCTGCTCAAAGATTTGGAATTCCAGTGAATTGTCAGCGGAATTCAAAATATCAGGACAGTTATTCCTAAACTGTATTCCTTAGAATTAAGGAGACAGTGAAATTTTCGTAGAAACCTCAACTGTTTGAGATTCAACGAGATCATCTCGTTTGACGTCTTCGTAACTGAACTAATTATCAATTAGTTAATTAGTTTATTGATTTTTCATTCAAATGATGTTCTCTCGTAATTAATATCAATCAATAATCATCTCATTAATGAATAATAATTCTTGAGGGAGAGTGTTGATTAATATTGACACTGAGAGAAATTGAATTGAATTTAACATAATTTACTCTCCACAAACAGAAGCAAAGAAAAAGAAAATTTCGTCACATCGCATTGATGAATTTATCAATTCATGAATAAAGCAGATAAACTAATCAATCGATTTCTCATTTTTATCAATTCTGTATGACTCACTTGTCCAATAATCGCAGCCAAGGTAACCGGTGGAATTTTATCAATCCCATAATTCACAGCCTGCATCCCCAGCAAGTACAAACCGTACTCTAACCCCTGCTGTCTCCTCCTGGCTGGTCTCATCTCGATAATTATGGGGGAAATCAACGATCGTGCACTATCAACTCCTTCAACCAAACTTGTACACTGCTGTCAATGCGACTGCCGTTCGTACACCTGAGCATTTGACAGTTTAGTATTTTTGCGAGAGAGAAGATGCTCGAAATATCCAGTGCGTTTAGACCACTGACGCGATACTGACTGGCTGCCTCTTTTTGATATACCACGTGGTCCAATCCAGTGGCTATACATGCGCACTGACGTCAATTCAAATCTGAATGTCATCGGAGATTTTTAGATTCCATCCACTCATTGAAATTTGTAAAAATAAATTATTAAGGCGAGTGAATTTTTTCGTGAATATCTTCAGAACTACCACGTACAGAGAAAAATGTCAGAAGACCTCTTTTATAGTTCATGAAATTATCTGCAGGAAAAGTTGGCAATATATTACCGCGAAATTCCCGTAATATCTCTCATTATCGGAATTACTGAATGATTCGTGCGTAATGAAATGATCCCTCTTGTAATGAGCAAAATTACTAAAGTGTTTTATTTCCTCACTCGTTGTACATTTCACCGTATTTTTCATTTCCCTGTTTTTTCTTCTTCTTGGGCTGTTTATATTCGTGTGAGGCCTGTTTTCTCTATACTGAAAAAATAGTAAGTTTCGTCATTGGGCCGTAAAAAACTTTCCTGGCGAATATGAGTTTGTAGAAATGTTTATTTTATAAACACTCTAGCTTGTGCAAAAATCGAGATATTACCCGCTCATACGAAGTATTCGAAACATTAGAATTTTAATAGCACTATAATAATAATAGCCTCCCCTTAGGGGAGGTTGGGGTAAAATGGACACTTTTGACTTTTTTAAAAATGTTAATGACGGGTTGAAATATTGATAAAATTTAATCATTTTTTTTTCATTGCAAAAAAGAATTCTTTCCCTTTGTGATGAGCCTAAATTGATAATTTTTTTTCTCAGTTATGAGTAATTGAAACAAAAGTCTAAATTGTCCATTTTACCCCGCTCTCCCCTAGTGGTCTGAAGCCATAAATTGTTGTAATATTTCCGACCATTCGGAAGCCCGCCATCGATGTTATTGATGGCGAAAAACAATACATCACTCAGCGACACGCTCACAGTCACCTGGCGCGCTGTCATATGCTCGCTGTCCCCTGCTTGTTTTTCTGTTAAAATTGCTTAAAATACCCCCAGAGTTGATTTCTACGATGACACTCTTCTAAAATGGTTTGAAAAAATCTAAAAGAATGCAGACACTTTTAAAAAAAAAAACTCAATCCCCCAATTTCAAACTCATTTATTTCGACATAAAAACGATAAAAAATAAAAAATACATCCATAAAGCCTTCCAAGATCTCCGAATGAGAAAAACCTGAATAAATTAACACAATGCAACACGAGGCCCCCCGAACCCCCTGCCTCCTCCCCTCGCCTGATCCCCTCATTAATAAATATAAAATCTCAAAAAATAATAAACCCCCCAGGACCTCGTCAGCTGGAGAAACCGGGATTGGTGTGTTCAATGACACACCGCCTGCAGTAGCTCTTGACAGCCCTGTACCCCACCTTCGTGACCTTGGGGCACTCTCCGATGTTGAGTTGCCTGAGTCCCCTGATGTAGTAGGCAAGCGCCTCGAGGCCGGCGTCAGTGACCCTCTCGCAGCCGCAGAGCGAGAGTTTCTTGAGATTGGGGCACCCCGTCGAGAGGGCCTCCAGCGTCGGATCCCCGACATCGCACTTGCCCAGATCGAGGGCTCGAAGCCTCGGGCAGCCCCTGGCCAGGGCGATGGTGGCCGAATCGCTGAGGGCCTCGCAGCCCCGCGCGTTCAAGTACCTCAGCTTGTAGCAGTGCCTCGCGACCACCAAGAGCCCAGCGTCCGACACCCTGTCGCACTTTCCCACCGAGAAGTACCTCAAGGACGGCCCGAGCCTCGCCGCCAACTCCCGCACCCCGAAGTCCGTGACTCGGCAGCAATCGGAGACCGAGAGTTGTCGCAGATTCGTACAGTACGAGGCGACGGACACCAGACTGGCGTCAGTGATCCTGATGCAGCGCCTCAGGTAGAGGAGCCCCAGCTGGGGCATCTGCGAGAGAGTCATCACGAGACCCGAGTCGTCGACGTTGTGGCAGTCACTCAGGTCCAGGGATTCCAGTTGCGTCGGACCCACGTGGCAGTAGGCGCGCGTTAAACTCCCGCAGCCGGTGAGGTCTAGCTCCTTCAGGTGAACGCAGTTGTCGAGGATTGTGGAGACGTTGGTGTCCGTGAGCTTCCTGGAGTGGCGGAGGGCCAGGGACGTCAGACTGGAGAAGGGGAGCAGGGAGAAGGCGCCGGTGAAGCCAGTGGAGCCCTCGATTATGAGTCTTCGGATCGACGAGTGACAGCCCCTTCGGGCGATCGATCTCAGGGCTGTGGTGGCGTTCTGGGGGTAGCGGATCTCCACTTCTCGCCAGAGGGACGGGTGCCACGCTATCTCCCAGAGCCGTCTGCAGGTCTGCGCCAGGGTGCAGCGGTCGCGCGTCGACAGCCAGTGGAGGATCTTCAGGAGGAGCTTGTCCTCCAGTTGGCAGAGGGTCGCATGGAGGGCTGGCGGGGGGTAACGCTTGTGCTGGTGGTGCGGACGGGGGGAGGGGATCGATGGGGAGGAGGAGGATCTGCAGGGGTTGTTGTCGAGGGTGTGGTAGCCGAGGTCGATCGAGTCGGCGGCGGAGGGGGAGTACAGGGAGAGCTTCTGGAGTTGATGGGTGATCGCACGATCCGGGGATATGAGCAGGGGGTAGGGACTATCCATTCCATTATTTAATCTGGAAGATTAGAGAGCGGGGGGAGTTCGGTTATTTTGGTTTTATTGTTTTCATTTCAGTAGTGAAGTGGTCGAACGGTTTAAGTCAATTTTATTCTAGCGCCCGCTCTCGATGAATATCACAAATTGTAAAGGAGTTGGCAAAATTTTTCTCAAAATCTTGTTTGTAAAGAAAAGTGAAGACTATCGAAAAAGGTCTTACGAAAATTTCGCTGTCTTGCTTAAATTTGAAGTTATTCAACGAAAAATGAACTGGGAGCTACGTCGATTTAAACCGATTGACCACTTCACTACTGATTTGTTAATTCGTAAAATGGCTTGTGAGTTTTCGACCGAAAATTACTCCTTCTAAAATTGTATATTTCATCGCTTGTGCTCAAAGTGAGATTTTATGCACGCTCCGTGTCATCTTCTACGGGTCAATAAACACTTTTATGCATTTGTATCAAAATGTGCTAATTTCGATACGAGTGCGTAATAGTACATTAGAGTACAAGGGCACAAATTTCGTTTTCAACGAATGTGTAGTTTACAGGCCGAGCCGAAGGCGAGGTCTATACACACATTCGTCGAAAACGAAATTTATTACCGAGTGCTCTATAATATTTTATGTCAAGTCGTGCAGAAGTCGAGTTTTGAGCAGGCTGCGCGAAACGCAGCGTGCGATAAACTCGACTTATTGCACGGCGCGACATAAAAAATTTTTTCATCACACTGTCCGTAAAACGTGACACTTCGTGTCCGTCAAATGCCGTTTACGGACATTGTGAAGACAAATTATGTTCGTTACTCAGCCGAAAACAACTTTTCGGACTCGTATGATTGCATTCCTCAGCTTCGTCTCGCTCTGCAAACCTCATACGCGTCAGAAAATTTTGTTTTCGGCCTTGTGACGAAAATAACCATTTTTGGATATCTACCTGAAAAGTGCACTTTCCGAAACGGTTTAGTGCGCGCAAAGCGGTTGTTTTTCGCACGGCGTGCGTCAAGTGAATTCTCACGCGTAGAGAATATGCCACGATGAATGCAACGCAAGACATACGCAACGCTTGCATTTGTCACAAATAATCGAAAACTAGTTGAAGGATTGTTTCACGCATTGCGTAAATTTCGCGGTCCATTGTGGCATCACTCTAAAGCTTCGCTTTACACACTCGCAATTCATTTTACGTATTCTCTTGAACGTTACGCACTGGTACACAAAAACAACCACTTTATCCCCACTCCCGTTGCCGAGTCAACTCGGCAGATATCACAAAATAGTATATTATGATACAAGTAAAAAAAAGTAGTTGTTGACGAGTTTGAGGCAGTCTGTAATCACACTCGTCAGGAAGTAAATGTTTTCATATTTCTAGTACGATATTCATTGTACTGGTGAGAAAAAGGCGGTTCCTTGCGCGCAACGCGTGCAAAAAGTGCCCTTTTTTCACTGGTATCGTAAAATAGGATGTGCTACACGTGGGTGCGAAAAAGTGGAACTTTACGCACTAGGAACACAATACACTAATATTCCATAATACAAAAGGGTGGATCATCGATCAATTATTGCGAATTTAATCATTAGTTCTAAGTTCACAATTAATCATTTTGCAAAGTGATAAAATCTTTTTCGTCAAGATAAAAAAATGAAATGATTCAATGCAAAATGTTAACCGCAAGCGTATGTTCCAAAATTCATCGATCGTATTGATCATCCCAAATAATGATCAAGAACTTTGAGATATTTAATTTATCTGCAGCTAGCCGACATAATTTCAATCCCTTTGTCCCATTTTATCCAAACTAATGCGCGAAAAAGGTGATAAAATAGTTGCGAAAAAACTTGAATTACCTGGATCAAATTAGAAAGGACAATAACCATCGACGATGTATGACATAACTCAGCCTTTCCGTCACAATCACCACCATCTTGATCTTACATTCCAAATATAAGTTTCAGCCAGTTGGAATGTTGCCTCTGTACAAGTCCCCCGTTCACTCTAAACCACCCGTCATCCAGCTAAAGTCCACCTTTCGTTCCTCCAATCCCCCCTTAATTCTGATTCACAATACGAGTCCCAGGTATTTGAGGGCCTTATGGGGCCAGTTACCCCAATTCAATGCCCATTTAATTTAATTCGGGATGTAAACCAAGCGGTAATTCACGTAGATGCGGGTGTCAGGATGTCACTTATCGCCCGAGAAGGCCCGAGCCGATGTGCGGGCCCGATCTGGCCCGATCGGTCTTGGTGGGGGGGACTGTGGGCCCTTTCTTGGGCCCGATTTTAACTGCGCATGCGCAGACGGGTCGATAAATTGCCCTCAGGGGGTCGCGGTCTTCAAGAGGCAGTGACCTATGTCTAGAGATGAGAAATTACCGGGAAGTTACGACAGTCAATTTACCGTCACGTGATTAATACTGCTGATCAGGAAGAAATCTAAAGGATATTGTGTGAAACCTAGCGAATTCGGTAGGAAATTCTATTGGATTTCTATTGAACTTGTATAAAATTCTTTTAGTTTTTGGCCGCTTCTATTGAAGAATTTAGTAGCTTCAATAGAAACTATTTTATAGAAAAAATCATTAGAATTTGTTTTTTTTTACAACTTGTTCATGAATTTATTGAGTTTTTTATACTCGATTCGTTGAAAAAATGTCTACCGAAAATATCTTATCACTGGAATAAGTTGAATAGAGAAATCGAATTCGAATGATGTTTTATATAAATTATTTTGTATTAAAAAAAAAGCTCAGATCAGTTGCGGAATTTTTCAATAAAATGAGTCAAAAATTAATTAAAAATCCAATAGGAATCCAATAGAATTTTCTAGTGAAGCTGTAGAATTTTCTAATGAAATTTTTCCGCACGTCCATTTTTGAAAATCATTTCAATTTTCGTACTGTTGTCAATACTATCAACTCAATAGAACAGGTAATCGTCGATGCAGTTCTAATTTGCCGCTCCCTGGAGCTATAATCATACACCGCCATCTGTTCTTACAGGAAGAAAACGTGTCATGCGTCTTTACGCATTTTGCGCTCCGATTTTCCTTATAAATTAAACATTTTGAATATTTGAATTGAACATGTGTTTTTTAATTAAATATGCAGAATATATGCCTAGAAAATTTCAACAGCTCTTGCTCCAGATTTATTCGTAAAAAATCTGATGAATAGAAAAAAAAATTATTACAGACACATTACTTCACGAATATCTTCAAAACTATAGATTTTAGCGAAAAATACCAAAAAATCATTTTTGCAACTCATGAAATTTTCTACAAAAAATGTCATATGACATTTCTTCGTAAACCCAATCGTTTTAGAGATATTCAAGAAATAATCTGAAAATTCATTGAAGACTTCTGTTCCATCGTCACGTGTTTGAAGCTGTCGATCGCGCAGGAATCTAGAGCACATGGCACATGTTTTTTCAGTAAATAAATTTCCTTCGTCAGAATAATTGAATACAATCAACAATTTCGATGACGTCTTTTAGATTAGGTAATGTTGGATTTCGAAACTGTTTTTATCCCCCATGCATTCCTCCCCAGGCCTGATAAAGATGTTTACCTCATTTGTGCAGGACAAACATAATATTTCGATGCGAGGCGAAAATTTCAGACAAGTTAGAATTCAGTGTAGAGTCTCGGCGATATTCAGTCTGACTCAGACACGCTCAGACACTTGTTGAACTGGCCATCGTGCGCACGTTTTCGGCGAGAACCGGTCTTTCGAGTATTTTCAGATATTTCATCCATTTATTGCCAAGTTTTTTGATATTATTCCCGCGATTTTAATCTCAGCATGGCTGGAAATTTAGGTGAGATATTTCAACTTTTTTTTTTATTGAATTTCTTCAAGAATTTCCGAGGTTTGTAAAAGCATTCCGGGGGAATTTTGGGATGTCCTTGGCATTTATTTCGATCTATTCATAATGATTCACGTGGAAAGATTATTAAGGCATCATTTTACTCGGTAATTTGATAAATAATGACAGTTTGATGACAGTTTAATATTTAATTCATCCTGGTTTGAATTATTGTAGTAAGTACACTTTTGCTATTGCAAATGAATCTTTGGCGTAACTCGCACGTGTCGAATTCGTAGAATTAATAGAAAACAAAATTATGAATGATCGTAATCATTCAAATTTTTTATTTTCGTTAGTATTCATTCTCCGAACATTCATACAGACTAAGTTCATATTTAACAGAATGGAAAGTAAAAAAATCACTTAAACTGAATTAATTTTTAACAATAAAAATAGTTTCAATTGCGTATTTCAACTTTTTTCGATTAATGAAATTCTTTTATTAATTACTTTATTGGACCATTTCGAAGGAATTTAGAAAAGATTAGGAGTGGCCTTGGAATCTCGATGTATTTATAACTGTCTTCATAGAAAATCATTGATACCTTATTTTAATTTACTGAATATTGAATTGAAGTTCTGCATGAATTTTTTCTATTGCTGAATAAAAATTGAATTAAAAATCGATCAGAAAATGAACACAATCGTAATGCAGACATTTTTTCGAGGGGTTGTCACTTTTGAATTTCAACTCATTTACCAAAATCAAAAATAAGTATTTTACATCCAATTTTCATTCGTCAGCATCTTAATCTTTATTGATAAGCATTTTAAACTTTACATTTCATTCCGCAGTCATCGCCATTCTATTCGAGACAAAAACTTAATGTCAAAACCCAACTATTGTAAAATGCAGGTCAATTAAATTGATTTGGCATTCATTATCTCCGATTGCTATTATTTTCAGCTCTTCTAAGTGTCTCTGACAAAACGAACCTCCTCCCCTTCGCCAAGAAGCTCCACGAATTTGGATTGACGCTAGTAGCCTCAGGAGGAACAGCGAAATCCTTGAGAGAAGCTGGTCTTCCTGTAAAAGATGTTTCCGACATCACTGGAGCTCCAGAAATGTTGGGCGGACGAGTCAAAACTCTCCATCCAGCAGTTCACGCTGGTAAATTTCATTGAGAAAAAAAATCTAAAAAAATCCACTCATTTACAGACAAAAAAAAGTTTTGATTTTTAGTTATACATCTAATTTTCAGGAATCTATTCTTAATAATATTAGAATACATACATGAAAAAATTCAATAGAAAACCTAGCGAATTCGCTAGAAAATTCTATGGGGATTCTATAGGAATTCTATGGGGTTTCTATAGAATTTCTATTGGAATTCTGTTGAACATTTCAATTTGTTTTTTGCGTTGATTCGAATTTCTGTTTGAATTTTTCTCTTAGATTTTTTCTATTAGAATTATTGAGCACAAATTTTCCAAGTTTTTTTTGGCTGGATTTTGTTTCGTTTCATTGCACAATCCGAGTGGAAAAAACTTAGAAAATTGGTGCTCAAGCATTCTTATAGAAGAAAAATCTCAAGAGAAAAATTCAAGCAGAAATTCGAAACCTATTGACTTTTTCTTATCGAATATCCAATAGAATCAGCCCAGAAAACAAATAGTATTTTGCAATACAATTTCAATAGAAATCCTATAGAAAACCCATAGAATTTCTATGGAATTCCAATAGAATTTTCTAGCGAATTCTCTAGGTTTTTTATTGAATTTTTTCATACGTGTAATAATACTGCATTCTCGTCAGCATCCAGTATCACCAATGATTGTTCAATAATGGTTTCCATTCCTGAAAATCAGTGACATGTTCCTGTGAATTAATACTGTATTTCGATACTAGTCCGGAAAAGTGTATTTTATGAAGAAGACTTTTTCCTCGAGTGTCGAACACTATTTTTTATCAAAATGTGTGGAAAATGGAATTTTCAGTCACTTTACTCAAAAGTGATGAAAAAAAATTTTCTCTATATTCACGAATCGATTAAAATAATTTCCCAAGGTATCTTGGCGAGACTCTCTGACTCTGACAAAGCAGACATGAACCGTCAGCAGTTCGACTACATTCGCGTCGTCGTCTGCAACCTCTACCCCTTCGTCAAGACCGTCAGCAAGCCCGACGTTACAATCGATGATGCAGTCGAGAATATTGACATCGGCGGAGTGACATTATTGAGAGCTGCCGGCAAGAATCACGCCAGGGTCACGGTTATCTGTGACCCCAATGATTATGAAAAGGTCATCGGTGAAATGGAATTATCTGCTGAGAAAGATACCTCCCCAGAAACGAGGTACATTGACATTTACTGAAATTACCGTATTGATTATTAATTCTTAAATTCATGAACTAAATCTTTGATTTATGTACGTGAAAATTGGTATTGTTGGACATGCATATGAATTCATTATATTCATTTGCTTTTTCATGACAAGAAAATTCTCTATTAGGGCTAAAGATTTGTCAGCGGAGTTCATTTAGAATTAACAAAACGGTATCTTTGGAGGTCCCGAGTAATTATTTGAGCAGAAGAAATGATTATGAAATTTTCGAATACTTCGTTATGACATTAATGATTTTGAAAAGTACCTCCCCAGAATCGAGGTATATTGACATTTACCGGAATTGGCGTATTGATTATTAATTCATAAATTCATGAACTAAATTAACTAACTTAACTAAAACGATATTAATGTTTCGAATGATCCCCAAGCACTCAATTATGAATTATTTTTCTGATGCATAACAATTTGCATGATATTCTTAATTTCTCCATCCAGTACACTGTTAAAGAAAAATGAAATTTCATGGACAGTTTAGTAGCAATTTTTAGGAAAGCAGTATTTAATTCAATTTAGAGGTGGAAAATAATGTAATTTCCCTGAAAATTCAATGGAATTTCAAATTTTTGGGCAGAAATCAATGGGAAAGTCAAGAAAAAAAAGAATCCATTCACCTGAATTTTTCTGATTTCTCTTAATTTTGATGGAGAATTTTTTTTATTGTTAATTTTTTTATGGAAGAATAGAACAAACAATAAAAAATTGCAGTTTCCACTGATTATTTCTTCAATCCTCCATTTCCAATGGCAGAATTACTAGGAATTTCATTATAACTCATGATAAAAAGTTCCTAAAAATGTGCTAGAAAATCCAGTGAAAATTTTAAAAAATATACCAGAGAAAAGACATTCCTCAAAATGAATTTCATGAATTTCAACTAAAATCCCGTGCCCCCGCCCATTAAATCTCGCATCTCTCCAACATTCCAGACAAGTACTGGCCCTGAAGGCCTTCACCCACACAGCGCAGTACGACGACGCGATTTCGGACTACTTCCGCAAGCAGTACAGCTCCGGAGTGTCCCAGCTTTCCCTCCGTTACGGTATTAACCCGCACCAGAAGCCCGCCCAGATCTTCACAACCCTGGAGAAGCTCCCCCTGACCGTGGTGAACGGTTCCCCAGGGTTCATAAACCTGTGCGACGCCCTGAACGCCTATCAACTGGTGAAAGAGCTGAGAGGTGCCTTGAATCTTCCAGCGGCGACTTCCTTCAAGCACGTCAGCCCGGCCGGAGCAGCTGTGGGGGTCCCCCTGGACCCAGTGCAGGCGAAGCTCTGTCAAGTCGACGATCTCCTGGAGCAGCTGACGCCCCTGGCCACTGCCTACGCAAGAGCCAGAGGAGCAGACCGAATGTCCAGCTTCGGGGATTTCGTGGCACTCTCAGACACCTGCGACGTTCCCACAGCTAAAATCATCTCCAGGGAGGTCTCTGACGGGATCATTGCGCCTGGCTACACCCCAGAGGCCCTCGAGATCCTCAGGAAGAAGAAGAATGGAGGCTACTGCGTCCTCCAGATGGATCCTGACTACGTTCCCACTCCAGTGGAACGCAAGACCCTCTTTGGACTGACGATGGAACAGCCCAGGAACAGTGCAGTTGTCAATGACAACACCTTCAGTAATCTTGTCAGTAACAACAAGGAGCTGACTGACGCTGGGCGCAGGGATCTCATCGTCGCGATGATCGCAGTCAAGTACACCCAGAGCAACTCTGTGTGCTATGCCAAGGATGGACAGACCATTGGCATCGGCGCTGGACAGCAGTCCAGGATACACTGCACCAGGTTGGCCGGGGACAAGGCTGACAACTGGTGGCTCAGGCAACACCCCAAGGTCACGGGAATGAAGTTCAAGAAGGGGGTCAAGAGGGCGGAGATCTCCAATGCCATCGATAATTATGTCAATGGGTCGGTGGGGAAGGACATGGACAGGAAGCAGTGGGAGGCGTTCTACGAGGTGGTGCCCGAGATGCTGACGGATGAAGAAAGGCACAAGTGGGTCAAGAAGTTGGAGGGAGTCGCCATTGGAAGCGATGCCTTCTTCCCGTTCAGGGATAATGTCGACAGGGCTAGACTTGTATGTAGCAATTTTGATTTTTTCTTTACTCTGAGGGTTTTGGGACTGAGGGGGGGCGGAGGTTTCTGGGGAAAATATTTGGGGATAAGCAGGTGTTGGTGTTCTGCAAATATCTCGGGAACTAATGGATTGAGAGAGAAATGTCATATAATTTTTTTTGAAATTTTATTTATGTATTAATTTTTTTCATTTGTTATTCTGGGATTTTTTTGTGGGCAAAAGTGTTTGGTGGACCTAGTGGTTTCTAAAATATTCAGGAAATCATTGAATTTGAGTTTTAAAATAATTAAATTCTTGAATGTTTTTTTGTTCACACTATTTTGTAAATACCTCTGAAACTAATAGATTGAAAAAAAAATCACAGAACTTTTTTTTTTAATTTTCTTCAAAACCCAATGTTTTTAGAAATGTGTGCAATTTGGATATCAATGTATGAATTTTTTCATTTACTCCTCCTAAATTTTGAGTTTTCAAATCACGAAGAAAAAAATTTTAATCACTAAAAACCTTCGATTTATCATTTTCGCAGAGTGGAGTGAAATACATCGCAAGTCCAGCAGGTTCCACCAACGATCATGTAGTCATCGAGGCGTGCAACGAGCACAACATCGTCCTGGCGTACACAGAGCACCGTTCCTTCCACCACTGATCTATACTCATAAATCCAATCACAACTACTACCCAATAATGTATAATTTTGTACGGTTGTTTATTTATAACAACATTTATATATTCTGAATTTGTTTTTAGACGTGGTACAATTATAAAAATATAACATCGAACTTCGTGTAAAGCGTTTCTAAACATTCTTAAATAATTTATCAAAAGGAATTGAATTTACAAAGGAATGCTTCCACTCTCTTCAACCCTCCATTACAAAAGATCCTTCTATTAACACAGTTCTATTAACCCCTCACGTACGGGGCCTTTCTGCTACCAAGTCTACAACACGCTCAATATTCTTCGCATCCCATATTTTCTGATGAATGAAAAATTATAAATAAAATATATAATTGAAGCTACAGTATTCACCTTCCCAATGGTATTAGTCCGATTGTATTATCTGCCATAGTTTCGGAAATATTCAATTTTGAAAAGAGCCATGCGTTTTTGCAGGGGTCGGTATGACATACCGAGCCCGTACGTGAGGGGTTAATACAGTATAATGGCACATTCGAGCCTTCTGCTGCGAACGTTTACATATTATTGAGCTGTTTAATACATTAATTCCTCATTCCTCGTATTTTCATTCTGAATGCAGGGCAAATATTTATAGAAAATATCCTCGTATTTATTTAATTAGTGGGGTTAGTGCAATGAAAGATTGTTCAGGAGTATCAAAAGTGCGAATGCTGAGAAAATATTAGTCCCTATGAGAACTGAGGATCGAGAAATAACAGAAGATTAATTAATAGTGAAGTGGTAAAAGTAGACCAAATCAACTTTTAATATTCTATGAAATGTGAAAAAATCTTGAGAAAGTGTCAAAAGACATTTTATTTAGAGAGTTTCCCAGCTACTAGAAAAAAATGATGACATTGTCTTCTGAAATAATTAGTTTTAAGAAAATTGCACAATTTATTAATTAATTTTGTTGACTATCTGGGAATTGAGAGGACAGTAATTTATTTTCTAGTTAATTAACTTCTATTAATTTTCAGTAATACGCTTTCTCCAGAAAAAAAATTATTCTGAAGACAATTTCTCAGTCTTCTTCAATTCACAGATTTTTATAATAACCTCGGCATGAAATTGAGTTGATTGAAAAAAATTTCGAAATGTTAAGTTCGACAATTAATTACGTTTTACCAGTTCTCCAAAGCAATTTTTAATATTCCATCGAATATGAAAATAACTTGGGAAAAGTTAGAGGCCATTTTATGCGGAGAATTTTCCCAGGAATTTCTCTAAAATATTATTTCTTAAGACAATTGCAGAATTAATTATGTTGAATATCTGAGACTTAAGGTGACAGAGAATTCTCCATGCATGATTTTTCAGCAATAATTTTGCTCCAGAACAAAAAAATTTAAAGAAAATTTCTCAGCCTCCTTCAATTCACAGACATTTACAATAAACTCATCATGAAACTGAGTTAATTGATTGAAAAATATTTTTGCACAGTTCCATTAAGTATTTAATTAGGAAAATGAATTAAGAATTCACGGACTGAAGTTTCGTGAGGTCTTCAGGCCTGAAGACACCGACTTCAGTGATGATACCAGTGATGAGGCTTGCTGGTGTCACGTCGAAAGATGGATTCCAGCATTGTATTCCAGCAGCTGCAATTCTCTGGTCATTCAAGTGAGTCATTTCCCTGTCTGGCCTCTCCTCGATGGGTATGTGATCACCACCAGGAATTCTGAAGTCGATTGAGGTCTGGGGGGCTGCTACGTAAAATGGGACTCCATGATGCTTGGCGATAATTGCAATCTAGTAGGAGAAATAGAGAGAATCGAATTTAAAACGAGACCCTCAACGCATTTAAAAGAAAATTCATCTGTCGAAATTATTTTGCTAATATCTGTGAAGATAACGTATTAATGAAAAAATCTCACAGAATTTTTTTGTAGGAAACTTTATTCTCCACAAAAAATGTTTTCTGACGTTTTCCTGTAAACCTAATAGCCTTGGAGATATTTACGAATTAAGATATTATACTCTACACACCCCAGAACACGTAAGAAAAAATCGTCTATGAAATACTATTTTATTCACTGGAATTCATGCTCCAACTCTCAAACAAATATTTCAAAAAATATATCTTCACATTGTCTCTGAGGAATTAATAAAATAGAAAAGAAGTGGTTTAATTCATCAGTTATTTTTCAATTACTTGATATGTTCCAATTTTATTGGCAGTGTCTCCGTTGGCAGCGACCCTGTCAGCCCCTACGACAACAGCTGATATCGTCCTGGACTTCATCAAGGCAGCCACCATGTCATCACAGATGAGGGTACCTGGTATTTTATCGTGAACTAGCTCGTAGGCAGTTAATCTTGCTCCCTGATTGTAGGGTCGAGTTTCAGTGCAATAGACGTGCTCTGTAAAACGTGTAATTATTCAATTACCTCATTGTCATCAAGAAATTACTTGAATGGGTTGATGAATGGAGTACTTCAGTATTGTTATGAACTTGTGGAGTTTTTCTGAAAAGTATGGGAATTTTTGCAAAAAATTTCGTCAACTCCTAGAGCCCCAGATAATTATCTAAACTTGACGATTATTTCTAATTTCACTTCCTCAATTGTACAATTATCTGGAGATTAAATTATTCAGAGACAAAATGTATGACAAAAGTTCATTTCGACATTCCACTCTGCAATAATTTAGTTTAGATTTACAAAATAATATTGTTTACCAAGAAAAGTTATTTATATTTTTGTTTACATCAAATGCAACCGATATTTTTCTCCCAATAAACATAAAAAAATTCCGCAAATGTCAAGTATTTTAACATAATCTCTGAATAATAAATAATACATCGTAAGCATTCAAGTAAAGATGGCCCAATTTTTCATGAAAAAATTCTCAAAACCAGAAAAAATAAATTACCAAGTCTTCTCTTTTCGTGTAGAGACCTGACAACCCCAAGCGCAGTGCCATACCCAGCAGTGGCCAGCGAGCCAGTATTGCAGTGAGTGACCACCCTGACCAGATTCTCCTCCGGAATATTCTTGAGAATCTCCTCAGCCCCAAAGTCCCCAATAGCCTTGTTATCAGCGATATCCTTCTCCAGCATCGAGTCGATCTTCCTGAGAAACCTAGAATCAACAGAAAGTCTCACATGATCTGTCATCCATGCCACAAGAATCCCACATGATCTTTCTTCAATCAAGAGATAAAAATGCCAGATAAAATTTATTTACTGTTCGTTCATCTGACTGATAGTGATGCTGTCGTCCTTGCCCAGTTTGTTGGCGAGTTCGATAAGCTCCTCAGCTGCTATTTTTATGTTGACAGCAGTGGGCCTCGCAGAGACAAGATAATTGAGCTTCCCTTCGATCTCTCGTCTCAGTGTCCTTTTATCCGGGTATTGCTCATTCTGGAGCTCAACACCCAGGCTGAGGCAGCCGACAATAGCAATTGCAGGGGCTCCACGCACCTGAATGAAGTAACAATTATGAAAATTTATATTGGAAAATCTATAATTATGCAATAACCATCGTCGTTATCATCACAAAAAGCTTAAGAGAATTAATGAATGAAATTATCATTCTCTACAGCCCTGACATTGCCCTGAATAGGACAACTTCACAAAAGTCTTCAATAAATTGTAATTGATTGATTAATTTCATTCTGTCAATTACGAAATTATCTCAAGACTAAATGATTCAGAAACAAAGTGCTTGTAGGCAGCTTAGGTAGGGGATATTCTCAACTACGAAGAGCTTTGAAATTCCATTCTGAAGTCACTGGTTCCCTAAATAATTAATTGCGTAATTGATATGTCTCAAAAGGTGAAATCGGTGAATTATATTGAACATTTCATAATTATTCAATACTGAAATATCAGAAAACCAAACATAATCATTATCATCACATGAAGCTTAAGAGAATTAATGGATAAAATTCAGTAGCGAAGTGGTATAACGGTACAAGTTAATTTTGACTATTTGGCAGTTATCACTGAATATCTTGGAATCTAAGGGAGATAGCAAAATTTTTGTTATAACCTTTTTTGGAAAGCCGATTGAGAGCTACAACAAATGTAATTACGAAAATTTCGCTATCGCACTTAGATTCGGAAATATTTCTCAAAAATTCAACTAAGAGATAAGTCGACTTAAACCGTTTTACCACTTCGCTACTAAATTATAGAATATTCTGGGTTGAAAAGTTAATTAAGATCATATCTGCAGCCCTTGCTTTGCCCTAAATAGGACATCTTCACAAAAATCTTTAATAAATTGTAGTTGATTGATTGATTGATTTCACTCTGTCAATTAAGAAATTATCTCAAGACTCAATAATTCAGAGACAAAGCGTTTGCAGGCAGGAATATTCCCTACTACGAAGATCTCCTTTGAAATTCCATTCTCAAGTCACTCGTTCCCTAAATAATTAATTGCGTAATTGATATATGTGTCAAAGGGTGAAATCGGAGAACAAGACCATAAATTTCAATTGATTGCTCCTTCATCAGCGTCTCTTGGTTGACTAGTTTGAAAGAGGAGGTCGCCTATTAACGATACTTTGGAACAAATCTTGGATTAAGTCGATATAAATGCAACAACATCGCGGTAATTATGAAACCCCAATCTGAATGGCGAAAAACAGAAATAATTTTTAATGAAAAAAATTTATATTCCGTTATATTGTTATTCAGTTGAGAATATCAATTATGCAATTAATTAATTACAATATTTCTTATACATACACATATACGAAAATAAATTGCAGCTATAATTGCATTAAATAGAGCAACATCACTTTGTTATGGTACAATTTTATTATTATTAAGATATCATGAAATGAAATTGAGTGAATTGATTGAAAACACTTCCGAAATGTCTCGTTCGACTATTAATTACGTTTTACCAGTTCTCCAAAGCAATTTTTAATATTCCATCGAATATGAAAATAACTTGAGAATTACAGAATTAATTATGTTGAATATCTGAGAATTGAGGGGACAGAGAATTCTTCATGAATGAATTTTCAGCAATAATTTTGCTCTAGAAAAAAAATCTCAACAAAAATCTTACAATAAACTGAGTAACATCACTTTGTTACGTTACAATTTTATTATTATTAAGATATCATCTAAATTCGACAGTTCCTGGAGAATCAATGTTTATCTATTTAATAATATTTTTCCTAAATTTTTTCTCTACTAGTTTTAAAGATATGGATATAATGTAAATATTGAAGTTTTCTTGGATAAAAATTTGAGTAAACAAAAGAGAATTGCTCTTTCTTCACCAATGCACTACTGAAGCCATTCTAAAATTCAAAATTTCGAAATTAGCTTGGGATTGCATAGTTCTTCAACAGAACTTTTTGGAGAAAACTCAAATACCGTCAGTATAAAACATGATAGTGTCAAAAATTCTAGAAATCTAATATTGTCAATTTGGATTCAATTTAACATAAAATCGTTCATAAAATTCCTCATTCACTTCGGAAATTGAAAAAAAAAATCATTTTTTCATGATGAATGATTATTGATATTTCACTAAAGGCTTGAATTTTCAAATTCATAGTAAAAAATAAATTTTACATTCTATACTATTCTAAATAGACTGAAAATTGAGATCAAGAATTGTCTGAATCTCTTCAATATTCAACAATTTTCATCCAAAAGGACTTAAAAATTATAACTCCATTGAATATCTCAGAACTCAACTGAATTTACCAGAATTGAACTTGAAATTTTTACAAAATTGTTAAAAAATCAAGATTTTCAATAAGAAATTGCGAGAGTAATTCCCTTCCTAATGTTTACAAAAAGCTCAACCCGCTCGAAGTAAGTAAAAATCCTAGGTTATGTATTAACTCATTATCAGTAACAACGAGAACGCATAACCTTCAACGACAAAATCAAAATAACTTCACCAATTCAGGCTGATTACCTGCATTTTATTGATGACCTTCCACCCATCCTCGACTCCCCTCACCGGCACATATCTAGTTATCGCTGGTAGAAGTATCTGATCCAGTATCTCCAGCTTACCATTCTCCCATTTGATCGCCTCGAGAGTCATTCTAGCCCCCCCCCAAGCACTGTCAAAAGTCTCGACTGATGGATTTTAAAAATTTTCACTCCGAACAGTATCACGAAACCGACCTATTCCATGCGTGTCTCTTTTTACTCTGTGTGTACTTGATATTTTAACTGTTTCGAGATGCCGGAGAGCGGGAAGGGCGCGATTTCGTCGTGGTTCACGTGGCTAGATAACGAGGCGAATGGAAAAGAGGCGTGAAGGGGAGAGAAGGGAAGAGGCTTTGGCTGAGATATAATATTCACTGATACTCACCCGGCGCCTACGTGATTCGTGCCTCCGTCGTTTTGCTTCTGGTTCTGCCGGTGAGTCACGTGACCAGATGGTGGGTTTGGGTTGATTTAAAGGTCGTTACACACTTGGCAATTTTTTAACTTTTTTTGTAAAGTAGCTCTATAGGGGAGGATGGGGTAAAATGGATAGTCTTGACATTTTTTAAATATTAACTATATAACTTGGAAACAGCTCTATCAATTCATCTCAGTCTTGATTTATGACTATGGGGACACGTATGAAAAAATTTCATAGAAAGTCTAGCGAATTCGCTAGAAAATTCTATTGGAATTCTATAGAAATTCTTTGGGAGGATCTATAGGATTTCTATTGGAATTTTATTGCAAAATTCTATTTATTTTTTGCGCTGATTCTATTGGATATTCGATAAGAAAAAGTCAATAGATTTGCTCAAATTTTTCTCTAGAGATTTTTTCTAAAGAATGCTTGGGTATCAATTTTCTAATCTTTTCGCGGAAATTACTTAGAAAATTTTTTGCCCAATAATTCTAATAGAAAAATTGAAATAGAAATTCTAAATCTATAGAAATCCTGTCCTATACTATAGAAACCCCATAGAATTCCTATAGAATTCCAATGGAATTTTCTAGCGAATTCGCTAGGTTTTCTACTGAGTTTTTTCATGCGTGGAGGAGGGGTACTTTCCAGTGAAAAATGAAAAATCTGCAGGTGACTCCACTTTCGATATAACCGGAATTTTACGTTTATAGGTCTTCAATTCTTTAGAAAAGCGCTATTGTTCCTCTTATTTTTGAGAAAGCTCCGAATATTATAAGATAGAAAACCCTTCCGTGTATTTTTCAAAAATTCGCTAAATTACCTCTTTTTGTCCTTATCTCCACTCGAATTTTCAAAAGAATTCGAGATTATTTTTAAAAAACCCTGAGAGTTTTTTTGAATTTCCTAAAAACGAGTGAATTTTTTCCAATTTTCTAGAATACCGAAGAATAATGTTTTTCCATTTTCTACAAAAATCCTTAATTTTCTAGATTATTAACAGATGGCACTGCAGCATAAAAGACTTCTTCCCAAAATGATCCCCCACAATGAAACCGAAATGGAAGTGGAAACCGTATCCACGTCTACAATCTGTAGACTTGGATAATTTTTCTCATAAATTAATTAATTCAGTTAACAAAGAACTTGGTTTAGATGACCTAATGAATGCAAATTAATTAATGCAATTCATCAAGGACTTATTTTAAAAACGGTTCATCATTTTCTATAAGAAAAAAAATTCTCGATTTTTTACACTCGATAAAAAAAAAGATTTTAATTGTTATCGTCAACAAAAATATCCTCAATCACGGATTTCGTAAAAAAAAAAATTTATTTTGTAAAGAGTAAAAATGGTTACTTCCCAGTAACAAACTCACTTGCTCAATAGTCCAAAATATAGGGGCTACTTCGAAGTTGGTTCCACATTCGAATGTTCTTCGACTTTTTTTTTATAGAATCTGAGAATAGAGATTTTTTCACTGATATATTTTCTTCGCTATATTTGATTGGTTTGGAAAAAGATCGGATGATTGAATGGAATCGACTTCGTGGGAGGATGAAGTTGTTTGCATTGTAGATATCGAAGCACAGTTCAGTGTGAAGTTGAAGGGTACGGACAGTTCATTGTTATGGATTTAGTAGTGAAGTGGTAAAGCAGATACCTCAATAAAACGAAGTGGTAACATCAAATTTTACCGCTTCACTATTAAATCATGAATTAAAGTCGAATAAACGATTTATTTGATTCAAACGAAGGATCATTACGTGTTAATATGTTATAAAAATTATTAATACGATGTTCCTAAAAGCAAATAAAATTTGTTCAATTCAAATAAATCATTTTCCTGCGTAAATGCGATGGTTGAAGCAAATCCGCTGTAGTTATTTCAAATATTCTCGTCGTGTAATTAAATATATGAAATAAATAATTCGTTCAGTCTAAATCTTTATTAGCATCAAATAAACTCGTTTAATAATTTAATAATTTCGTTGTTTCCGCGACGTAAAAATTTATTTCATTTATCACTTATAGTTTTTATTCGGATGAAGAAAACATTTACTTATTAAAAAAAAATGTATTGAGCCGATGCCAATAAGAGCAAATCAAATTTATTCAATTAGTTATTTCATCTAAATGAAGGAATATTACGTGCACGGAGAGAAAAATTCAATAAAAATTACGTATCTTTTCCGTAATTCCGGAGCGCAATGTGGTTGTAGGAAATTTTACGGAACTGCCACGGAATTTTTCACGGAGCTTTCCGTAATTTACCTAAAATCACGGAATTTTTCCACAGCGTTCCGTAATTTTTCCCTGAATCTCCTGTGAAAAATTACGATACGGTCACTTGAATTTGTTCAGTCGATTCCGTAATCGGTGAGCGCACTGTGAGTTCCGTTATTTTTACTGAACATTTCTCTCCGTATGTTTAATAAATTCATTCTTTCCGCGATATAAGAAATTCGAATCAATAAAACAATGGCTTATTAAGAAAAATTTATTCGGCGTCCATAAGCGCAAATAAACTTTATTTAATTCAAATGACTCATTCTGCTTTGTATACGCGATAGACGAAGCAAATCCCCTGTAGTTATTTCAAACATTCTCGTCGTGCAATTGAATACGATAATAACGAATCCTCTGATTTGATAATGCGAAACGACCTCAGGAGGTACAAACCGAAACGAGCGCACAATTGCATCACGACACGCTGCAAAACCTCGACCCTGAAAATGCCCAACATTTTGAGCCCATCATCTCACTGAATACGATTAGATGCCATCAGCGCCGGGTTGAACAGTCCACTCGCTCTCCCTCGTAATTGAATGAACCAATCTTCGTATGTTTTATCACTTTATTCAGCCCTCCTCCCATATCACACCGTCCCCCTTCAATTATCTCTGAGGATTATTTCTGATAATTAAACAAGTTGGAGGATGAGTTGAGTGGTTTTTTTTTGATTGTGCAGAGCCGTACACAAATCCATAATTTACTTTAATTAAATATATCTATATACATTATAGGTACAATCCATAAAGTACATCTATCAATTGTTTCTTTTAACTGTACAACAGCAGTAGCACTTTCAAATACTGTTGAATTATTATTTTTTTTCGTTCACAAAAATACATCGCATATAAATAAGTGTCTTGATAATTTTTAAGTAAATCTCCGTGCGGTCGATTTCTCGGGTTAAATTCATTTATCTAGTTTCACTTTTGCATTTGTTGGCGTTTTGAGAGAAAGAGTTTCTCAATTTGACAATATTATTCTCAACTCGTGGATTGGTTTTTGGGGAAATAAAGTTACCTGTTTTCGGAAAAATATCTTGTCTTGCGAAATTAATTTTTGCAATATCTTGTGGGGTTGATTATTTTTTTATGCTTGACGGATAAGTTTTGGGAATTGCTGCGGAATTGAGAAGAATGTTCCCAATTTGAAAATATTTCTTTCCCTCTGACTGTTTCATTTAAAAAGAGTTAAGTTAGCATTCGAGCTTAAGTACCATCAAGAGACATGAGATTGGCATTTTGATATTGATAGTTATATAATATTTTTTGGTTTTTCTCTTAAACTTTTTCATCATTATTACATCAAGTGCATAGGGAACTGCTTCGAGCCGTCGGCCTCAACCATTGCCCCTTAATTTAATCAATTTGTATATTGTTCTCTTATTAATGAAAAATCTCATACTTTCACGATTAATTTGTTCCTCATCAGTCTCTGTCATTCTTCGGTATCGATGAATGACGGGGTTTGGGTTATTATAATTTTGGCTTCAATGGTATCGGCCGAGGGATGCAATTTATAATTAAATGAATTCAGCGCGTGAGCTGTGGAATGAATTGAGGCAAGTAAACTTTAGAATAGTGCAATTTTTAAATAAAAATCTCTCGGAATCCAAGGGGATTTTTTGGGAAGTCCTGTTAAAATTTCCCCCTAATCTCCAAGACCTTTTAGAAAAGCTCATCTCGAAATGAAATTTATCCAGAAAAGAAGATATAATGGGTATATTCAGTCGTCAATGAAATTCAACATTTTTTTAAATTTTCAAATTGCATTATTGGGTCACAAAACATTGAAGATTGAAAATGTCTCTTCCCAATTTCATTCCACCTCTCGCCGCTGAATTCTCCTCCATTAAAATTCTCTGTCATTCCTCATTATTGATGAATAACGAGTTTGGGTTATTATAATTTTAGCTTCAATGGTATCGGCCGAAGGATGCAATTTATAATTAAATGAATTCAGCACGTGAGCTGTGGAACGAATTGGGGAAGTAAAGTTCACAACAGTGCAGTTGAGGCTTTCACTCGCCCCACAAAATTGTCCTGTTCAAAAATTTCCCCTTAATCTCCCAGACCTTTTAAAAAAACTCACCTCGAAACGAAATCTATCCAGAAAAGAAGGTAAAATGACTCGTCTTTAGTCGTTAATAATTCGTGATTGGCAGAGCGAAAATCGAACATTTTTTTTTCATTTTCAAGAGTTCACTTCAAGCTTCAAAATGAGCCTCGATCGATCCAAATCGCACTATTGAGTCGCAAGATATTGCGGATTAAGTGTCTCCCCGTTTTCGTTCCACCTCATCACTGCTGAATTCTCCTCCATTAAAATTCTCTCATTTCTTCACGCTCAATCGTTCACCTCAGTTCGTTCGATCATTCCTCCCTTCATTCATATAATCTAACAATTCGGTTATCGATTATTATCATTTCGATGTTACAACTTGGACTTTCGACGAGCAGTGATATGCTAATTTGCTGGAACGGCGATGTGTTGAACTGTTTCATGAGTGTCTTATGTTGTTTCTCATAATTTCAGTTGCTCATATCGCTTTGATTAAGTGTGTTTTCAAATCATGTTTATGTAGTTCTGGGTGTCTGGTGTTTCTCTGTTCCGTGTTTATACTTTTTTAATGAATATTTTCCTTGTTTTTCTTTCTCGTTTACAATTAGACGAGAATACGACAGACCATCGAGTTTTTACGAGACAAAAATGGGGCTTTGGGGAGGGGTGGGACACATATAAGTTTATTGATCGTTAATTTTCTCTGAAATATTCGCAACATTGTCGCTGTTTTCTTTATAACCATTATCACTAGTAATATTTCTTTAGGATTAATCTTTTCTTTTATCGTTATTAATATAATTTTTCTTATTTTTCGT